GTTCCTTCTATCCCTGAATTTTCCTTCCTGTGTCCTTTCCCTGCATTTTTGTCTCCTTAAATCATCCTTTTACAGACTCTAACAGCTGTGTAGGTATGGGCAATATTTAATTCTCAGAATCTCCTTTATAAGGGCTGTGAATCTAGGGGCAGCTAGGTGGTGCAGTGGATAGAGCACTGGCCCTGAAATCAGGAGAACCTGAGCTCAAATCCAGCCTCAGACCAAACTCTTGACACTTACTAGCTGTGTGATCCTGGGCAAGTCACTTAACTCCAATTGCCTAAATAAATAAATAAATAAATAAAATAAGTGCTGTGAATCCAAGTCTGGATTTCTATAGGGTCAGATGAATTAAAAACTCTGCATTGAAAGGGTCTTCATAGGTTATATAATCCAGTGCCTATCTAATTCCAGAATCTCTTCAAAAACATCCCTGACAGGTTACCCACCCTTTACTTGAAGATATTTAGTAATGAGACATTCGCTATCTCATAAAACTGGTTTGAATTCCTTGTTGGGAATATTTCTTCAATTTAACCAAAGGTTATAATCATGGGATTACAGAGGGATCTCAAAGGGCATTAAGCATCACTCACCCCAAAGCAAAAATCCTGACCACTGTATATCCTACAAATGATCATTCAGCCTCCACCTGAAGACCCCCAATAACAAGAAACTCAATACCCATAGAAACTAAACTAAAGTGGGGCAAATGAGGTTTTGTTCCAGGGTACCAGTATCTAGGAGGGTACTTCTTCCCCATGGTGAACCATATCCCTGTGCTTTGATGTCTTCCAACCTCTCCCCATCTCCAACCCAGTTCCCATTGTTATATGACCCTTCCTTTTTGTCCACTTTTCTCTTACCCTCTTCCTCCCAACCCCAGGTAAAGATTCCTCTCATTACATGGCTGAACCACTTTACTGTTTTCCCTCCAGGCAGAAATATCTATATCTATATCTATATCTATATCTATATCTATATCTATATCTATATATGTGTAGTAGTTATAGCTCTAGCTAGAAGGACACTTAGAGATCACCTAGTCTAGTCACTTCATTTTACAGATAAGGAAGTCACCTCCTCATCTTTCTTCTTGCTGGTTCCTCATCTAGATTGCCCTTCTCTCTACAGAGCCAAATGTTACCCATCCTTCTCCACTTCAATTCTTAGCAACTCCATGAAGTTTCCCCTGACTGTCCCATCCCACAGCAGTTTTTTCTCTTCTGAAGTCCTATAGAACTTTACTGTCTGTACATAAAGGCGTCAAGGTAGGGTGGTGAATTAAAGTTTGAACCCTGACTCAGACACTTAGTGGCTGCATTTAGCATTTGTATTTGGTCCTAGGTACAATCAGGAGTCAATGGAGTTAATTGAGTAGAAGAGTGACATGGGGAGACCATTTGGATAATAAAGAGGGAAGAAACTTGAGGCTGAGAGAGCAATTAGGAAGTTAATATAAGAATTCAGGTGAGAGGTGATTAGGGCCTAAAATAGGATGGTGGACATGTGGGTAGAAAGAAGGAGGAATGTGGGAGAGATATTGTAGAGGGAGTATCAGCAAGGATTGTTAACTGATTGGATATGTAGGGAAAGGAAGAAAAGAGAGTTGAGCTTGACTCTAAGGTTATAAACTTACTTGACTAGAAAAACCATGGTACCCTTGATTAAAATAGGAGAAGTCAGAAGAAGACTGTGTTTTGGTGAAATGATAGCTAGCTCAATTTTGGACATGGTGATTTTAAGAAGCTTATGGGACATCCTGTTAAAAATACCCAACAAGCAATTGAAATGCATGGCTGGAGCACAGGAGAAAAACTCAAGTTGGATATATAGAATTGGGAGTCATCTGCATAGAAATAATAATAAAACACTGGGAGCTAAAGAGGTGACTGAGTTAAAGAGCAGAACAAGACTCAGACAAGGTCTCGGGCAACACCTACAGATGTGACTTGGATGATGAATAAGCAAAGGCTACTGAAAAGTAGTCAGTGAGTTAGAAAACCAAGAGAGAGCATTGTCATGACAACTCAGAGAAGATAGAGTATCCAAGAGCAGAGATTAATGTCAAATGCTGTAGAAATGTTGAAAAGTAGCAAGATTGAGAAAAGGCAAACAGATCAATTACATAATATAACACAGACCCACGAACATTTATAAATAATGTCTTTGATAGATTCCTCTATGCAAAATACTCATAATATCTAAACTATATGGAACAAAAAGAATTAAAAATATAAAAACTTATCAAAAAAAAATCAAAATCATGTGGGAATAGGACGAGATACATATTGTCCCCATCATCCTGTCTGTTACTAGAGTTGTTCTGAGGATATTTTCAGGCAGCCTACATCAGATTAACTTACATCCTAATACTTTTGTTCAACCACAAAAGCAGGAATTTTTTTTATCCCTTTTTATCATAGTACATACATTAAATATAAAGGAAAAATAGCAGGATATTGACTTGTTCCAGGACTATTTCTATCTGAACTTCATCGAACAATGTGAGAATGAGATAACAATTATAGAAGTTATAGTGATCCTAAAATGAAGTTGAACATTGAGTAACTGTGATATCAGAAAAGAGATGAGAAAGTACCTCAATCCTTCAGTAGAGAGGTGAACTCTATGTGTGAAACGTTGTAGATACCAGTAGACTTAGTTGCTGTATTAGTTAGTTTTGCTTACCTCTTTTTCTTAGTTACAAAGAAAGATGCAATGGATGGGGGAAGGAATATATCTGGAAGTGATAGGCATTAAAATAGAAGATATTAATTTTAAAAAATTTCATGGCAAAAAAAAAGAGAAACTATAGTGACCATAATGAAGTTTTGCATAGCAAAAAGCGATGTATCCCAGAAGAAGAAGCAGCAAACACAGAAAAACCCTCGCATCAAACATTTCTCATAGAAGTCTAATATTCAAAATGTATAAGAAACTGAATAAATTTACAAGAATAAAAGCCATTTTTCATTAGCTAAGCCATCAAAAGATTTGAATAGAAACTTCTACAAAGAGAAAACAAATTATCAAAATAACCATATAAAATACTTAAAACTGATAATAATAAGAGAAATGAAAAATTTAAAATTTGAACACTCTGTGTAAAATCCATCAAACAGATGAAGATAATACAAGATAACAAAATTCAATACCAAGAATGCTGTGGTAGTATGGACATCCTATAACTCTTCTTGTGAAGCTATGAATTGGTCTACCCTTAAGAGATACAAAAACTTGGATAGTTTTTTAACTTGGCAGTCCTACTCCTGGAACTCTACCCCTGGGAAGCGATTGGCAGTTTGAAAACAAAATTATCTATACAAACATTTTCCCAGAAATGCTACTTGTCATCACACACACACACACACACACACACAGACTAGAAACAAACTACTTGTCCAATGATTGGGGAAAGGGTGAATTAGAGTATATAAATTCAATAGTTATTTTGTCATTAGAAATAATTATGAAAAACTCAAAGAAATATTGTAATTTTTGTATGAAATGATACAAGTGAAGAAGGCAGAATTGAGAGAGGAATATATCCACTAATTACTGTTGTTCCTTTGTAACCAGGGACAACAAGAAAAGCAACACTTCATGTTAAAAATTCATTAAAAAAAAGATCATCAAAGTAGGAAGGATGACAGGTAATTCTTTGTTAAAGTCACACTTTACATACTTTTGGGGTTGAAGATGAAATCAGTAATGTAGAGTCATTTAGAACATTGATCTGTTTTATTTTGCTCAGCTACTATTCTTTTCTTATAAAGTTTATATATAAATGAGTTATGTATAATGTATGCAGCTAGAGTTGTCACATGGTGGTCAGAAGAAGTGATACAAGGATATTGTCAACATCTTTTTGAAGAACTTTGGAATTGATTGTGTGTCATGGAAGACAGTGGCACAGGACAGCCCAGCATGGTGTACCCTCATCAAAGAAGATGCTGTGCTCTATGAACAAAGCAGAATTGAAGTAGCTCAAAGGAAATATGAAATGCACAGATTTAGAGAATCCACCCTAAATGTTCACATGGCCTATTTGTGCCCAACCTGGGGTAGAGCATTTGAAGCTCATATTGATCTGATCAGCCACAGTCAGACACACAGTAACTAGATTCTAACATGATGATGTCATTTGGGTCCTCTTCGAGAATGAAGGACAACTACCCACCAACCAATATATAAACATAGTGTATATATATAAATGATATCTTCAATTACCTGCATTTGACCAAAAGAGTAAAGGAGAAACTTATGAAACACCAGCATATCCTAACAGGGGGATATAAGATGCAAACCACGTACATACAAGATATATGCAGAGTAAATTATAGGTAATCTCAAAGGGAAGGCACTAGCATAAAGGAATACTGGGAAAAACTAATTGCAGAAGGTAATATTTGAGCTGAGACATGGAGGAGGCCAGAGAATCCATGAGGTGGAGATGATTAAGAGAGCATTCTAGGCAGGGGGGGACAGTGGGAGAGGGCATGCTATTTTTGAGGGGCAACAAGAAGTACATGGAGGATAGTAAAGTATGAGAAGACTGGAAAGGTAGGAAGGGGCCAGGTTGGGAAGGGTTTTTAAAAGCTAAACAGAAGATTTTGTATTTGATCCTGGAAGTAATAGGGAGTCACAGCAGGGGAGTGATGTGGTCAGACTTGCACTTTAGAAAAATCACTTTGGTAGCTGAGTGACTTTCATCTTTGTCCTGCGCTGTGCGAATGACTCTCTGAAGGTCCTTCTGAAGAAAGCCAAGCTAGGGCTTGGCCTCATCATCCTGTTGGTCCTAATCTCCTTCAAAAAGATAGATAGTTATATTAATAGATAAAGCATTTATTGAAGTATTGCTATGTGCCAGCCACCGTGCTAAGTGCTAGAGGTAAAAATAAAAACAAGCAAGACAGTCCCTGCCTTCAAGGAGTTTACAGTCTAATGGAGGAAGACAACAAGAAAGCAAGGGACCAGGCGAAGGTATTTGTAGCATCATGGTTTGGAGCTGGTGTCAGGGAAGTGAGATGGAGCTCCAGTTCCAGGCCAGGTAAGAGAAAGGTCACCTATCAGGGTACAAAGACAAACCAGCCCACTAACCTCCTTCTAGGCCTAACTCATTAGCTATTCGAGTGTCTGTTCAAGACCACCCCATCCCCACACACATATACATAGATATATAGGTACACATTCATACATATATATGTGTGATTGTGTATGCGTTTCCCCTTCATGGCAAGGCCTTCAAACCTAGGGGAGTCTGTAGGGGAAAATAGAGGCCTACCAAGGATGGCAGGAGTGTTTTCTTGACTATTTAGGCCTTGCTGTTTTGAATTTGTAGTCAAGATAAATAAAGCCTATCCACTGTTCAAAATAATGTCAGCCTGAGTGCTTGCGTGGGAGCTGAGGACCTCTTACATATCCTTTGTTTTCTCTATTATGTTGCCCTGAAGGGAAATCATAGGCAGGGAGAAAGTTACACAAATTCAAATGTTCCTAGGAGAAAGCCTAGGTTCAGGCACAAGGTAAAGAAAATGATTTTTGTGATGTTCTCAAGATTGAATTTGGTCTGTGGAAACTCAGAGCTAGTTTTTGGCTATAGTTCTGGGCCTCATATTATGCTTTTGAAAGTTGATGTGTACTTTATTTTTTAAAATTGGTAAATAATGAAAACTGACAGCTTTATATACAATAATTTATTTTCTTTGGATCTGTCAATAGATGTTTAAAAATATATATTATATATATATATAAATATATATAACATTTTTTTTTTAAGGAGGAAAGAGTTGTCTTCCTTTATCCTCCCTCTATTTGGCCTCATTTCTTTTATCTCCTTTCTCAATCCTCAGCACCTCCTCCTCCCACTGGGTTAAGGGCAGCAGGCCCCATCGCTTCTTTCCGACACAGGGCAGAATGCTATCATTTTTCTTCAGGCACCACAGCACCCGGACTGTAAGGTGAGATGGCACTGGGGCAGAGGCAAGGATGGCATTTATTCTTCAGTAACTTGGTATTCATTTAGTTCTTTCTAGAAGGAAAATCTCCTTAGGAAAATTAAAGAGAGAAACTGAGATTAAAGATATAGTAGCAGTAAAAAGGTATGCTGGGGAAAGTAACAGGGAAGAGAAATGGAAGGACAGAATCTACAAAGCAATGGAGCACATCTGATTTCAGACCATTAAACACAGGCTCTGGGATAGCAGATAGTACTCAGTTTCATACAGCAAAAACATAAAATATACAATGTCATCCTTAAAATACAGGACGGTGGGCCTCCCTATGGGGGATTCTTGCACTGCCTACATTGTGTGAGCCACATCTGACCAGAGCCATATCTGACTCAGATAAGCTCATTTGGGGTTTGCCTTCTAGAAGTATCCCCAGGCTTCTCTCAATGTTACCACGGAACCATGTTGAAGAGGCAGGTGAGTTAATGAAGGTGGTTTTGGACAAATTTCAACTGAGGCAGCTTAGTGTTATTAGCTATAGATTCTAACCATGTGAGATTTTAAAATGTATTCTTCAACTTGATTCTAAGCCTTTGTGAGAAAGCACATTAAAATGTACTCAGTTATGTGCATGTGTCTATAAACTCCTTCAAATACTAGTAAATATTAATTGTGGGCTTGAATGCACTATACATGTTGGTCTGCAGGCTAGAGGATAGGACAAGGTTTACCCTGGAGAAAAAAGATAGAAATGCTACAGACCATGAACCCAAGGAGATAGTCTTGGGAAGGGAAATATCTCTCTTTTAAGCTGTTCAGATGGTAGCTATTTTAAGGTGTTCAGGTGGTAAATATTAGTTACATACTTAGGCTAGTGGGGACCCTAAGTAACCTTGAGTCAGCTAGGTCACTTCCAGGATAGAGCATTGGCCTGAGAGTCAGGAAGGCCTGTGTTTGAATCCTGCCTCAGATACTTACCAGGTGTCTGACTCTGGGCACGTCACTTAATATTTCTCATCCACAATTTCTTCATCTGTAAAATGGCAATAATAATAGCACCTACCTTCTAGGGTTGTTGTGAGTAAGGATTAAATGAGAGAATGTATGAAAAGTGTTTTGCATACCTTAAATAATTATATAAATATCAGCTGTTGTTACTGGTGGGTTAGATAGCTTCAGGAATACAGTCCTACCGTAGGATCATTAATATGTAAACGTGGCCCAGCATGTTTTCTCTTCGTTCCAACAGGAGAGATGATCCTGACTCTTCTGGGAATCCATCCCCTACTGCTGCTATTGCTCCTGCAGGGTCTAGCAGGAGACCCCTTCTCAGTGGCTAAGGAGCTCCTAGCAGAGCAGCCTGGACAGCACGTCAACAACAGAGTGCCACGGGCCAGCAATTTGTCCTACAAGAAAAAGAAGTTCATGGACAAGTTTGTTGATGAACTAATGATCCTTCTGCCTCCGGATGTGTACTGTAATATTTTGATTAGGAGCAGAAATGTCATGGTTTCTTCGAGCCCATGCAAGAAAGAACACTACTTCATCCACAACTCCTGGGATAATCTACAAAACGTGTGTAAAAATAACAAATTCCCATGCAAGAATTCCATGAATAGCTGTTACCAGAGCACAAAATATATGGATATGACAATTTGTCAGCTAGTTGATGGTGATCTGTTCCCTTATTGTGAATACACATCTGTTAAAAAAAGGAAAAAAGTGGTCCTCTCCTGCAAGAAGCTGAAAGATTCCACTTCCCTTTCCCCTAATTCTGTGGAAACAATTGCTGACTAAGCCAAGGGGATGAATTGTCCAGTTCAGTAGGCTGAAAGCACTGGGCTCTGCTTTCATCTCGTCCAACCCCAGAGATTATCCTCAGATATGGGAAGGGTGGATAGAATATCAGAGATATGAATCCCATCCACGATGATGTTTCATGAAGGAAACTGAAATTTCAAATTCCACTCCATCCATTTCCACCATTCTGTGAGCAGCAGGAGCTGATCCTAGGTGGGGAGGAGCCCCAGCCTGGGAGCTGATTGGATAGAGTATCTGATTGTATGGAGATGGTGGGCAACAGTGAGAGGAAGAGGGACTTTGTATACCAGTGCTTTGCTGAACTGAGTAATTTAGCTAAAAACAATAAAGTGCATTGCTCTAGACAAGTTTTTTTGTGTCTTTTTAAAAAATGAAAGCTGTCATTTATGAAGCCCCTATTATGTGCCATGCACTTTACAAATATCATCTCACTAGATTTTTACCATAACATGAAAGGTAGGTGCCATTTTTTCAAATGAGGAAACTGAGGCAAACAGAAGCTAAATGACTTGCCCAAGGTCACACAGCTAGTAAATGTCTGAGGCTGTATTTGAACTCAGGTTGCCCTGACTCCAGGCCTAGGTCTCTATTGCATCACCTACCTGTCTTTTTATGGCACCCTAGGTTTGGGGTATGAAGGTTGAATTTGAATTCTTTGATTCTCTTTCTGTCTTTTTCTCTGTGTGTGACAAAATCAGCCACTACCCTGACAAAATAATCCCGAAGAAAGAATGACTCTTGCAGCCTTTTGTCTGGGTTAATTTTCTAATGTTATCACTTGAACACTGCAAAAGGGAGAGATTTCTCATCAAAGGTCTATTCCCCTGGATTCATGATCTTTACCTTTTTTCTCTTTTTTTCTCTGGTATAAATATTTTCTCACACTCTTCCCTGTGGGCCAGCATGTATAGTCTAAAATTCAAGTCTAAAATTAATATTTATTATTGTTGAAGGAAATTTGCAGATACATGCACACAACTGAAGCGAATCATGGGGAATATCTGTATTACTCAACTTGGCATGGATTTGAACTATTAAACAGTTGTTTTTCCAGACAGTCCTATTATCATTTTCTCAGTTTCACTAAAACTGTACAACTCTCTTCAGAATTGTTTCTATCACCAACCCACTTAACACAAGTACTCCTTCTAGAATCCAAAGCTCATACTGTCATGTAACTATTAGAGTCACACACAGCAGCTACCACTGGGTTAAGAACTGAAGGGGAAAATGGTGAAGACTGCTGCATTTACTTCAGCCTAAAAAGGCATCTCTCATAGCATCACTCAAATCAGCTGATGTATGTTTTGACCACTGTAACCTAGGCTCTTTCTCCTTCAGTTTCCCCTGATTTAGTGTTCTTTTCACTATATCATGTTGTGATAGAGAGCACTGATAAGTATCCTGCTGAGCTCACCATCGATGATTAATCTCTGCAGGCATTCTGTGGAGGAAGACACAGCAAATCACTAAAGACTGGAGTGATGTGGTTCCCAAATTCTCTGTGGAATTGGGAATATTAAGTGGCAGACCCAGCACATTCTGAGCATCCAGTAAATTATCTTCCAATTAGGCTATTTTCTTTTCTTTCTTTTTTTTTTTGCTCAGGCAATGGGGGTTAGGTGAATTGCCCAGGGTCACATAGCTAGTAAATGTCAAGCATCTGAGGTTGGATTTGAACTCAGGTCCTCCTGACTCCAAAGCCAGAGTTCTATCCACTGCACCACCTAGCTGCCCCCCAATTAGGCTATTTTCAATAGAATTTTTAGATGGAGGGGGATGACTAAGAGGAGATGAACAGAGTTATGTGGACATAACCCAGCACTCCTCTACTTACTGAGATGGTACAACAAACACACTACTAGAACTTCCAGAACATGTTTAGTGCTATGAAAGCAACCATGACAGGCAGTGTGGGTGGTGAGTGCATATCGTGATAAAGATATATCCACCCACTCCTGGCTCATTACCCTGCTTTTTGTGATCTATGGAGAACAGCAGCCTGACTCAATATTAATGAATTAAGTAATCAAACACCGAGGGAAATGGCATATAATTTTGGCCACTAGGTGGGGGTATCTTTCGGGTCATCAACGCAGGTATGGGCTAGGTCAGCTGATTGCCAGTGTGTAGGTTACATCCCTGGGCTTTCCCAATAGCTTAGTCTCCCTCACTATTCACCCTGACTAAACTGTGGTCTACTCTCCACTCCTTTCAGCTTGCCCTCTTTAGAGCTATCCATGATCTATACAGATCTAAGGGTATGATTTGGAACTTGTTCAAAATGACTAATAAAGGATATTCTTTTCTTCTCTACTGTGAACCCCCATTTCCCAAGTTTGGAAAACTTCCCTTGATCACTCACACTCGCTTATTTGTATAATTCACCAATTTACATTTTTTTCTTAATGGTCATATAACTTGTTGAACCAGTAAGGTAATTAAAAAAAAAAGATAGCAAAATAAAAGCGTAAAGAGCTTTTGAATAACAAGTGTAGGGGTATGATGTATTAGTATTGAACCCCTTTCTCATTCCCCCTCTAGGAGGTAGAATTCAGAGACTTTAATAAAGAGAAGTTTGAAAATATTTTGGTGGCTGCCAAAATTTTACTGTTAAGTATTCTAAGGAAACAAGAGAGGGGGGACAATTGGAGATGATACTCCTGAATGTCAACACAATTGTGATTCACAAAGTCTCTATTCAGTCTTAAATTTACTCTGGGAGGGGAACAGGTGGATAAAAAGGAGTGAGAAATGCACTGGGGTCAAATCAAGAGCTATCAATAAGGGGAAGGAAACCTCTGTAGCCTTGAAAAGAGAGTAGCTTGTAGGGGAGTAATTGAGATGGTGGAGGGAAAGATTGAAAAGGAGATAAAAGGAAAGAGGCTTTACTTTGGAGGTAGGAAGGGGGTTCCACTGATGATGCTCCTATGAATGGAGGGAGATGAAAACCTTATACCGGATGAGGCCTGGTGGATGTGGTACCTGAAAAATCCACTCATCTGGGGGGTTGGAGGGAGTTGGAACCTCTGGGGGCAACTGGCAGCTGGAGGAGTGGGGGGAGAGCATGGACACAGGGAGGAGATTTCCAGACAAATACATACAGAGAAAAACTAGAGAGAGAGACAGAGACAGAGACAGAGAGACAGAGAGAGACAGAGACACACAGAGAGAGACACACACAGAGAGAGAGAAAGACAGAGAGAGAGAGAGAGAGAGAGAGAGAGAAACAAGAGAGAATATGGATTATTAGTGGTAAGGGGGAGGGAGGTGCTCTACCATGAGGAAATGACCTATCTGATACATGAAATAACAAACATTGTTCTTAGAGTGAGGCATAAGAAAAAATGTAATCCATAGGAAAAGCCCTACAAGGCAGTGACAGAAAGTACCTAGAGGGCAGAGCCTAGAATGGATACCTTGGAAACTTAGATGATATGAAGAATACAGAGAAGAGAGAGACTACATAAGTGTAGGAGTTGTGAATGAGATTTTAGAGTTAACAGAAAAACAATGAAGAGAGTAAAAGAAATTCTTTTTGGGAAGGGATGCAATAAAACAAAATTTTAAAAACCTATTGAAAAAACAAAACAAAGCAAAACAAAAAAATCCATGGAACAGAACTAGCTGAAAGGGAGGAAAGGAAGGAAAAATCTATCTTAATAAGAGGGGGAAAGAAGGCAAAGAAATATATAACCAAATAAAAGCAGGAGAGAAGAACTAATAAACAAAACCCTAAATGGAAAGGGGTAACAATGAGAAGAGGGAATCGGGGGGAGGAGAAGAGAGCCAGTGAGAACAGGATCATCTTCAAAAAAAAAAGAATAAAGTAACAAGGAATACAATACTATATTTACAGTAGAAGAGAAGGGAAAATCATAACCTGAAAAAAATCCAGTTTTAGAAATAGAGGAGAATATAAACCTAACTCTTATAACTTTAAATGTGAATGGATTAAACAATCCAATAAAATGAAAAATAGTAACAGATTGATTAAGAAACAAAACCCTACAATCTGTTACTTATGGGAAACACACTTAAAAAAACAAAGACTCATAAAATAAAATTAAGGGAATAGGGAAATATTAACTATGCATCAAGTGAATCCAAAAGAGCAGGTGTTGCCATCGTGCCATATGGCAAAACAAAAACAAACTTCAGAAAATAAAAAGGGATAAACAAGGAAATAATATTAAATGAAAGGAACCATAGAAAGCAAACCAATATAGTAATAAAGTTATATGTTCCAAATTCCTTAGCATCCAAATTCATAAAGGAAATATTATCTGAGCTTCAAGAAGATGTAGACAGTAACACAATAATGACAGGAGACTTCAATATTCCTCAGCCAGTTTTGATAAGCCTAATAGAAAGTTAAGCAAAAGGGAGAATGTAGAACTGAACAAATTTCTGGAGAAACTAGAGTTAAAAGACTTATGGCATCTTCTAAATGGGATAGTGAAAGAAAAAGAATTTCTGCATCACATGGAACTTTTTAGAAAATTGACCATGTATGAGGGCACAAAAATATTGCAAACAAATGTTAAAAAGCAGAAATAGTAAATACATCCTTTATTGACCATATTGCAATAAGAATAGAAATCAGTTCAGGGACTACAAACAAAAGATACAGACCAGAATGGAGATTTAATAATGGAATCTTAAATAATTAATGCATCAAAGAACAAATCATAGGAATAATTAATAACTATGTAAAAGAAAATTGTGATGATGAAACAGCATACCAAAATTTCTGAGATGCAGCTAAAGAAGTCCTCAGGATGGAAATCACATCCTTATGATTATACATTAACAAAATAGAAAAAGAGAAGATTAATGAGCTGAGTATGCATTTTTTAAAAACTAGGAAAGCAACAAATAAAACCTAAATTAAGCACAAAAGAGGAGATATTAAAAAACACAGGGGAAATACTTAAACTGGAAATAAAAAAATAACACCATAGAAATGATAAATG